TTCTGCTTTTTATTTTTATTCAACTATTTTGATTTAGTCTACTGTTTTACTGTTTTACTGTTTTAGTTTAGTGAATTTTCATTATTTGAAATATATTGGTTATTAGCCAATAGTTTAAAGAATGAAATTGGATTTAACACAATTAAGGTAACAATTACTTTATTTACTGGTAAAGTTACAAAACGGGTTTTTACAGTTAATTAATATTTCATAGCTAATTAATGTCACTATATTGTTGTCATGGTTATAATAATTTTTATAAATCATGGTATAATGGTATTTAAAATAATGTACATGTAGCACATTAAGGAAAGTGTTATGGTTTATTTTGTACAATTAATGGAACTTCATTAGACTAATAAAATATTAATACAAAAAACTGGCAACTCAATGGCATTTAAAAGACATCTTGATGTTAACACCTTTTAAATGTCTGAGTTTATGTGTCATTGAAACATCTCAAATTAGTCATCTTTAAGACAACTGCTTTCAAGATGTTTTCGAGACAGCTTATCTCTGTAATCCTAAAAACACCTTATTCAACTATCCCAGCAAACATTTGGTCTAAAAAAGACGTTAATACGTCTTTTAAACGTATTAGACGTTTTTTATACGCTTACAAGACGTCTTTTTTAGACCAAATGTTTGCTGGGATGGCTGAAAATTTATGTTGTAAATCCAAAAAACCTTGCTTAGTTGAATGTTTTTGTTAACACAGTAGTGTCAAAAACATTCATAGTCTCAAAAGTTGTGTTGACAACGTAAATCCAAGAAACATTTTTTAGCTAAAAACTTATGTTAACGCCGCAAATTTAAAAAATATTACTTAGTTGAAAATTTATTTTAATACCGTAAATTTTAAAAACATTTCTTCAAATTGTAGATCATTTTATATGTAAACTTAGATGGCTAATAAACAGAAGAAGACGCTTTTTAAATCTTTTTACAGTATACTTCCGACCGCCTTGGTTTATTAGACCTACTGTCTTTGACCTACTAACTTTTAAGTTAGTAGGTCAAAGACAGTAAAATTTAGAACGGTTTTGCATTTTTTTTCTTTTTAAAACAAACTTTTTTTTCCTTAAATAAGTTAAATACACAAACAAAACTAATTTGTTAGCTAAACTAAATTAATAATGTTCACACCGCGTTTAAAACATGTCTCTCCACAATTCATATTTATTTATAAGATTACTAATTTATAATTGTTTAACATATTGATTATGTTAAACAATTTTATATGTTTAAATATTCTTAAAAGTTCCGAGCTTTTTTGAAATTCCGACCCTTCTATTAATAACCTTTTTTTAAAAAAAAATCGGTGTATTTGAGTCTTTAGAATTTATTAGTGATACAAAGAAGTTTTTACAACTTTCTAATTTAAAGATGGAAATAATCATTGTCAATCTTCATGTATTTTGTGCACGGTGAAAGCCATACAAATCGTTTGCGCCCTGAAAACAGAGTTCTTTGTGAAATCATGGTAATTTCTAATAACTTTGAAAACTTGCCTAGCCTACTACGGCTCTTTAACTCAATTTAGTTTTAATGCAAAATATCTAAATGAGTTTGAGTTTATGTATTTCAGAAATCAGTTATTACATTAATATTACATTTTATATTTTAATGAGAAAATGCTACACCCGACACTTCCATGCTGAAAAAAAAAGACACTCGTGTGTCCGATCATTCATCTATATTGAATTTCAATTTATAAACACTACCTTTTAACGAGTTGACTGATTCAGCACTTATGAGACTTATGGCCTACATTAATTACACACCCGGGCTTGTTGGTTTTTACGGCAAAAAATTAGGAGTTTTTTTTTAAATTATTGAATTTTTTATAGAAAACGCTGGAATAATAAAAATAGAAATTATTAAAATAAATAAACAATTGTTTTAAACTCTTTTTTATTAAAAGTTATACAAACATTTATAAAATCACAACAAAATTCTAAAATACTGTAAAATTAAAAACAACAAATAGATTAATCTTTTTTTTTAATCAATTAATTTCGTTTTAATTAATCAGCTTTATTTTGGTTCTTTTAGATTTAAAAGCAACAATCTCGTCTTTTTCCACCACTAATAACCATTGTTGTTTAAGTATATGTTTATAATATTATTAACAAATATTATAGCATTATTAAAATGCTGAGGACAAATGAAGATTGTTTCTCCTTCAAGATTCCTCCAAGCTTTTTTGCAGCATATCTGATATTATCAGCATTAAAAAATAAATTTTCTTCAACAAAATCTAATTTAGCAAGGCAATACGATATATACAATGCAAGATATTTCCCATGTAATTGAAGCCCCCCTCTAGGTAGCAAATTTGTAAACTCAAACCTTCTCATTATTTAATAATGCTTCACATTCAGAACAAACAAACTTTTCAGAGACTTCTTTCATAATAAATCCCGCAATGGAGGTTACCACCTCCTTGCTGTCATCATCTAAATTTAATCTCTTCAAAATCATTTTCAAAACTGATTTTACATAAAAAATTTCGACTGGACTCTGGTTTAAGATTTAACTGCCATTAATTTTTTCTTTCATTCGAGATTTTATTTGAAGTATCTTCTTAGAAGATTCTTAGAAGTATTATCTTCTTAGAAGATTCTTAGTATCTTCTCAGAAAATTCTTAGTATCTTCTTAGATTCAACTTCACGTAAACTAATAAGAAAATGACCTCCACTCATTTGTCTATATTTTGAAAATCAACGTTCTAGAGGGTCACTTTGGACACGTCTTGTTAAAATGTAAGCATAACCTTCATTAAGTAAATCATTACACAAAACAGCTAAACTTTTTAATGTTTTTATCATAGCATTTGCTGTTTGTTTGCTAAGAGTAAACTTTCCACGCGCTTTTAACTGCATTATTTGCCATTCATTAATTCACTTCAAAAAACAATATAAGAATTCAGGTTTTTTATCTTCCCTCTCAACTGCATAACCAATAAAGTTATTTGAATATTTTGACTTTGAATTTGGTATTAATCAGCAACTGTTACTAAGGTGTAAAAATTCAGCTGCAGATAAATCTTGTGGAAAATAACTTTTAATAGCAACTGACGTAGTTTCATGAAAAAGATTCAAAACAAGAGGAACACTTTGCTTATCATTTCCTGGATGTAAAGTTTGAAATGTGAGTTTATGTGCCTTACGTAAATTAACACTAAGTTTTTCATTTTTTCGTAAATTTTATAGAGAAAATGCCAAGATATTTCACCAGCAGTAATTGAAATAGGATCAATAATCCATCGAAATGGAAAACAGGGAATATAAATCGCTTAGAATTGAGAAGATTATTTCCAATATTTTTTAAGAGATGAACACTAACATACATTAGGTAAATTTTTTTTCTTCGTACATAATAAAATGATCTTCATCAGATTTATCAGTTCCGAAGCATTTAATTAACTGTCCGAAGCATTTAATTAACTGTCCGAAGCATTTAATTAACTGTCCGAAGCATTTAATTAACTGTCCGAAGCATTTAATTAACTGTCCGAAGCATTTAATTAACTTCACATATACTGATACATTTGTCAAATGATTGTCAGCAACTATTGAACGTACATCCTGCTAATTTTAAAACTGACAAAGTTTCTTTAATTTGAAGGAAAACTGTATCTCCAATTATTTCTTTACAACATATCTACCGCCACTATACTCACTATATTTCTGTAAATACATTTCATCCAATATTAAAATACAGTGTGGATCTACTTTTCCTTCCTCCAAAAGACAGTGTGGATCTACTTTTCCTTCCTCCAAATAGATTTTAAGGGTTCAATTCTTCCAGCTGCTGTTTTTTTTTAAATAAACAATTATGGTAGAGGTATTTTTCTTGTAATTGAATTTATGATGGCTTTGAAGTATGGCGTTGCAATAATGAAAAACGAAGAACTTCAGATGATATTGTTTCCTACCTTTTGGTAGCCATTCCAAACAATTTTTTTATAACTAAAACATTTAAATATAATTAATTTTATTGTATAGAGCTTGGAAAGATTTAAAAAATGAGGGGTCATTTGGTCTCTGAAGTTAAGCGAATCAAAAGTTATTGAACTTTTTGTAGTGAAAAAAGTGATTTTTTGACAAAGGTATGGGGCTTAAGTATGGAAAATTTGGTGCGTTATGGTACCAAAAATGAGAGTATTATTGACATTTAAATAACTTTTGAACCGATAAATCATTTGTCTTGAAATTTTCCGTAGTGACCAACCAACTATAAGAAAATAAAACTCCAAAAATTTTTTTTTAAAAACCTGTAGGATTGACCAGAATCATCTATTTTATAGACCGAAGGTTTTTACTAACTTATATATTTTTGGGGTTATACTGACTTTTGAATAACTTTTGAATCGTTATTACATTTGACTTGAAATTTTCTTTAGTGATCCAACAACTGAAAGAAATTAAAAAAAAAAAAAAAAAATTTTTAAATCTGTCGGGATCTTCCAGAACTACCTATTTTACAGACTGAAGGGTTTTATATTATTTTCTTAGTTTTGGAGAATAAAACTTGGGGTCATATACCATGCAAATATGCATAAATATACCATGCAAATATGCATAAAGAAATCATGGAATCCAAAAAATATATAATTTGAAAGCTATTGCATAATTTATAGACCGGTCAGTGATATAATCACATAAATTACTGTTCGGTCAGTAAATTGCTGAAAATAGGCTGTTCAAACAAATCAGACCCGTAGCAACCGGGTGGGCAGAAGGGCATTAGCCCCCCAATAATTTTTCCCCCAATAATAAATATTTTTGAAGTTAGTTTTCAGAAAAAAGCAAACGATTACAAATTTAGAAATAAAAGAAAAAAAGAATAGAGAGGACCTAATTTGTTATCCGTATTTTTGGCGTAAATTCCTTTGAAAAAAAATTTTGAACTACTACTATTTGACCTACCCAGTAGTATTGCCCCCTCCCCTCCCTTCCCCCCCCCCCCCCCAATATAATTTTTGTTCCGACGGGCCTGCCAATTAAACATATCAACTTTAAATAATTTGTAATTTTTTTTTTTAATTTTTGATATTTTGAATCGTTATTACATTTGACTTGAAATTTTCCATAGGGATACAAAGCTATAAGAAAATTAAATACCATAATTTTTTTTGTATCTGTCGAAATTATCCAGAATCGTTAATTTTACAGACTGAAGTGGTTTTACTTATTTACCTAGTCTTTGAGAATAAAATTTCAGGTTATATTATAGAAACTCCACACAAATATGCATAATAGATCATGGAATCCAATTAATTCATCTGTTTAAAACTATTACTTTATTTACAAACCGATTAGTAAACTACTGCGTAAGGGTATTGAAATCTATCTGAATCATTCAGAATTACCTAATTAACAGACAGAAGATTCTTTAATAAAGTTGAAATTTAAATTTGAATGAAAATAACTTACAGCAACAAAACTTCCTCAAATTTTGAGTACTTACAACAGCAATAACGGGTGTAACAGCAGAAAATCTACCAAAAATTGTAATAAAATCATTAAAAACACTCATACACAATAATTTTTAAAAAGTATTTGTTAATTCGTTTTAAAAATTAACAATTAAAAAAAAATATAAATTACCAATTGAAACTAAACAAATATTAAATAAGAAACTTATTCTTTGAGATTATTTATGTGAACTATTGACAACACCCAAGATAAAAAAATAAAAACAACTTTAAAACAAAAAATGTTGTTATTCTAAAACTTATCTCTTGGCTTTTATTGAATGATTAGAAGAGAGTTTCAGTAACAAAACTACCTAAAAATCATTTTTAACTATAGACACCAGCGAGAAGGTAAGCCAAATTGTCTATCAATACAAAACATCACAACAATAACATCATAATCACAAAACACACGGACCGTATGGCACTAAACGCTGTAAATTCATACTAGTGTCGATACTTAACTAACAAGGTTAACATCTATCCTCAGTCTTTTACTGTTTCTAACCAACATTAATGATCATCCTGAAAAACTCACAGGTGGCTCTATTTGTTGATGATATGAGAAACATATAGATATCAATCATCTGGTTTTGGAGCTGACCTGTTAACTGTAGTTACAGAAAGGTTTGAAATTTTTGTTAGATAGAGGCGATAAGGCAGTATTCTATTGCTCTGGATGATATGGTGTATATAGCGAAGTCTTTAAAAAGTCTTTGCAATCTTGTTAATATTCCTATATTGATGAATGGCAACATTGTTACTGTGTCTTCTACTTTACATCGTCTCTGATTATCGTTTTGTACTAACCTCTCATGAAAACCTTATATACAAATCATTGCTTAGTATTTGTAGTTATTTTTTACAGTTAGTATTTGTATACAATAAATAGTATTTTATTGTTCCTAAGTGCTCTGAAAATTCTTATTTGTCTAGTTTTTTTCCTAGAACATCAGTTTTTTGTAATCTCTCCATTCATCTTGTTTTCCGGATTCATATAATTTGCAATCTTTTAAGTTATCTGTTAATCGTTATATTGCTTTATAATCTTCATTTTTGGTTTTCCAATAACTTCCAAATCTAAAAGTGGTTGCTTCCAACCTTGTTAAAATACAGATACTTAAAAAAAGTCAATCTTGCATGTTTTAACAAAGTTGATGATCATCAATTCAAATCAGATCGAATCAATTAAAATCAGGTTGTTTGAGAGACACAATGCTGCCATTAATATTTAGGTAATCCAAAATATTATTGTATGTAGCAAAAGCTGTTTCCAATGATATTTTGGAAGCTGAAATTGAAAATAAACCCAATTCTAATTGTACAGAATGAACTGATGAATTAAACTTTGCTTTCAATAAATAAAATTATTACAATGCAAAGTATTTGTGCTACTTTGTTCCTTATTGAAAAACGTACTAGTATCAAAGTATCACTTACTATCTTGGTTTATAGATGAAACCACCATTTCATATACACTATTATCAGTTCGAAAACCTTAAAAAACAAAGTTCATATTTTGATTATGATTATTAGTAGAATTCAAATTTTTTTCCAATAAAAATAGACAATTTGAAATAATATTAAATAAAATTGGCACATCCACCTTTTCGAAGATGGTAAATTTTTCAGGAGTCAAGTGAGTTGTCTAAAGTTAAATAGCAACATGGCATACAACTATGCTTGCATACAGCATATCCAGGTATATAGAAGTAGACCTTAATAAATCAATATGATACTGATACTCATTAAATACATTCTTACACAACTCCATTTTTGTGAACTTTTGCTGATTTTTTATAGGTTTCTGTTTTTTTAAAAATATTTTAAAGAATCTATAGTTAATAGACTAACAATCAAGCTTGCAATTTTGTGGATGAATCCAAAAAAAAATACCTTTTAAAAGCAAAATAAAATATTTTTAATAGATTGAAATCTAAAGAGTTTCACTTTCAATATCATTCTCAAAATGACAATTTTATTTTATTTTGAAAACAAACAAAAATGATGGAAGGAACAAAAGCAAGAGTTTTATGCCATATAAAGTAGTTATGTAATGCTTTCATAAAATTATTTTTTTTATTTTCTTAAGTGTATAAATAAGATTTAGATTAGAAAGTGAAAAGTCAACATCAAAAAAACATTAATACATTGGGAATGCCAAAAAAAATTTATAAACAAAAACAAACTCAAAAATCAAAACAAAACACGGCGAATTAAAAAAAACTAAATATACATAATTTATAAATACATTTCCTATGTATCAATTCTTTAAGCAAACATTAATAAATACTTGATTTAGATAGAGGCAAGGCTATACTTGCCTTTCCCACTTGGACGTTTTTGAAAAAAGGTTTTTTTTTCAAAAAAAAAACAAAAAAACAATAAAGTCTTACAACACTGAAACCTAAACAAATATAAAACAAATATAAAACAAATATAAAATAAATACTCAAATGGTCCACATTCCATTAAATTCCTCATCCCTTTTTTAATCTATATGGAAAATTAATGCAAATTGTGTTTTGGTACTTCGGAATCCTTACCTGAAAAAGCTTCGTTTAAAAAAACGTTTCCACGTTTTTTTAAACGTTTTTTTTTTATCAAAAGGTCTCAGGATATTGATAATATTTAAGTGAAGCCATATAAAGCATAGTTCTTTCTATATATGTCTGGAAAGAGGTTGATAAACATATATTGATACAAAAAATTTCAATTTGATTGGTTAACCCTACAAAAAGATATAAGAGAGTATTTATGAAAGTTCGTTGTTTTTCGTCAAATATCAAATGTGTTTTGTAGCGCCTTGGATCGCTACTTTTGCTATATAATATTAGATACTATGAATTTCATCTAAAATAGTATTGGTTTTTTCTGTAACAAAAATCCGCATATATGACGCAAGGTTTTCTAATATGCTGATATTTTTAAGTAATTATTAGTTTTACTTAAACCACTTTGAAAGAGGAGTTTGACATCCATTTTGATGCAACTTTACTTTGATACAATCTTTTTCTATAAAAATATTTGATTCATCTTAAATGCTTGTGACACATCTAATGGGAGATTTTCTTGATGGTACTGGAATAAATAATAACAGAAAAGGTCGAATTTTTTTATTGCATCATTTGAATAAATAGTTGGTATTGGATTATAATCATAAATAAGAGTCATTCTAACAACGTGTTTTAGAAATTTTGGATCAATGTGTGCACTACAATGTGTGCACTACAACGTGTGCACTACAATGTGTGCACTACAATGTGTGCACTACAATGTGTGCACTACAATGTGTGCACTACAATGTGTGCACTACAATGTGTGCACTACAATGTGTGCACTACAAACACCTGAATGCTCTGTAGGAAACTAATTTTTTCTGTTAACAAACTTAATCCATTTGTTTCTTAATTCAGGTCTTTTTACAGCAACAGGAAACGAAAAAACACTATTTTTTTGTTTAAATAGTTGGTTCTTGAGTCAAGTTTTAGAGGTTTCACATTTGTATTTGAAGATTTACTTTTATATCCACTGCAACAGCATATCACTGCACACTTGTTTGACATTATATTAAGAATTCTAGGTATGAAAATTAAAGTATTTCTTATTTTTTTAAAGCACAATAAAAATAAACATATCTCAAGAGCATAAACGAGTCGTAAATGTATCCATCTAGTCGGCGTGACGTCACTCCGTATTAAAAGTATTGTTTTAAAATTAACCTCTTGAATTAAAGGGGGTGGGGGAGAACAGACTAAAAAATAAGTTGCGGATTGTTGAGTAATTTTATTAAATTATGCTAATAGACCTTTCCCATAAATTGGCGAACCCGCAATGCATTGTGGTAGTTGTATTCATTTAAATCAAAATAAATGTCGAAAAACCTAATAAACAGTAATCTCTCAGTGTTAGTTCTGTACCTATTTAAGGAAACAAAAAATGTTGTGCCGACAATTATTTGAAAAACCCTTAAACGGCTACCTGTTCACTATAAAAAATTCAACTTAGCCCTAATTTAATACCTACAATAACACTAAAACGTTATTGAGAATTACTAGTTAACTGTTAATTCCTATAGAAATTAAAACAAGAAAATGAAAATCTTAAATTGAAGTTATCCTAAATTAAGAAAAACTTTTTTAAAAAAACTATATGGAAGCTCAAAGAAAAAATTCTTCATTTACAATATACAGGTTTTAAAACAACAATGAACATATCAAATTTTACAAAGGCTTTAAAATTATGAAATATTTAATGTTTTCCAATTTTTAACAACAGCAGCAAAAAAGACAAAATAATAAGCATTTTAAGTTAACTTGCAAACTTATTTTACATGAAATATTTTTGCTAAAAAGAACTTGAAATAAAACTCTGTTTTCTTTAAAAAAATAATTAACAAAGAATATAAATCCACATTTTAATCATTCGTTTGGTGTTCAATGATTTTTCTCATACACAATAAAAGTTTTAGTTTCTGTTAGTTGTTTTACCGTTTCTGTATTGCTATCGTTTCTCAATTGCTAAATTTTGTATAAAAATCTTGATAATTGCATTCTTCTATTATTGTTAAATCTTATTTTTGAAATTAATAATGCTTTATGTCCTTTTTTCACTTACTTTATGTAGTTTTTTCAGTACTCAATACACTATCAGGGATACAACTCAACCACATTTTAAGTTTATATAATAAAAAATGTTTTCATATAGTTTTATAGACTTTTGCACCATTTTTTTTTGTATATTCAGCTTTTTTTTACTTTGATATTTTACATACTTGCATTTTTTTGTTTCAATTTGATAAATACCATCATAATCAAGAGTTTCAGAACTATTGTTAGAGCTGGTATTAACAAAATGTGTCTGTTTACTTTTATTAACTTTTTAACGATCCATTAAAATTTGGAAGACATTTCATGTTGCAACTGTTTATTCTATACAGCTTTCATATATTTGGTAAATAAAAAGGTCTTGAATCATGTAATAAATTTACTGTTCCACGCAGTTTTTCTTACTTGCCTCGTGCACTTAAAGCGAAAATGTTTTCATTAAAATCTACTGTAACCGAATCTTTACTTAACGCGATACTGCCAAAGGTTAAAAAGATACTGCCCACGCAGAATGATACTGCCAATGGTGTAGGGAAAATAAATTGGCGGCGCCTAAAGTTAGCATACTTCATAAATTGGCAATGCAATTAGAGAAGGAAATTGAATCTTTCTTAGCGGTTTTTTACCCTTTGATGTTCAAATCGAAGATAATGTTGACGCAAATTGTATTTGGAAATCGATGGTGCGTAGACTTGAGGGTTCTCAAAATGATTTGACCAATAGCTCCTGAAAGTTTAAACTGTTGAATCTGATCACCTCAAACTCTCATTTGTTTAATTGTTGTTAAGCCAAAATGGCGGAGTCTTTCCTCATATGGCAAGTGCTCTATTCCCATGATTGTTTTCGTAGCTTTATGTTGTACTTGCTCTAGAATAGCAATATCATTTTTCTTGAGTGGTGACCAAGCCCCGTTAGCAAGCCCGTTACCAAGCCCCGGATAGCAAATTCCAATTGAAATCTTAAATAGGTTTTGCAGATTACTTCCTGCAAAAAAAAGTCCATGATTTCTAAGTATTTTTTTTTAATCTACCAAGTTTACTGTTGGATTTTGCTGCTGCTGATTTAACTTGATAACTTACTTTAAGATTGTCTGATAGAAGTACTCCCAGATAATGTTTGTGTTTATTGACGTCTAGTTGAGTTCTGTTTCCACTCAAATCAAGCATCGAATAGTTTTGAATAGATTTGGAGTAACCACGCCCGACGTGCATAACTTTACACTTATCAAAGTTGAGAAGCATATTCTGTTATTCAATTAGTTATCTATGTCTTTCTCAAATTTTAGAACTGTGAGTATTTTGCAATCCTCGGCATTAATTTTTATGTGATGAGTAATATAATAGCCCGGCAGATCATTTATATATAACATGCTTCACAATGTCAGCACTCTTCTTTCTTTTTTTTTTGTTTTTGTTTAAAAAGTTCTACCTATATTTTCCTGATATAAAAAAATACTTAAGATGTATATAGGTTTTTTTTTAACCTATCAGCGTTACTATATATATATATATAGCAAAACAAAAGGTAACAGCTGCGTCACGTAGGAGTACGTTTATTTTGATTTTACGTCAAAATGACGACTACCAATTAAAAAAAAAGATTATATGATTTAAATACTTAAGAGATTAATGGAATATAGTTGTATGGATTAGTAGTTAAAGAAAATCTTTTTACGTAACAATTTTCATTTTAGTATATTGCACACTGTATTTTTGAAAAAACATAATTTTTGACGTCAAAGTTTTTTAATTAAATTTTTCTTTTGGTTCTAGGAAAAAATCCCCGCTGGAAACATTCCCCTCCTAAAAAATTCCCTGAGAAAAAACAGTTACCAATATACTAAAGTTTCGTGATCTTCTTTTGGAGATTTTTTTTTCTTAACAACAGAAATATGCAAAATTTTATAGTTATGTTTATTGAAACACTTGCAGTGCTTTAATAGACATAACTTTAAAGTTTTGGAATTTTATTTTGTATAAAAATATGTCATTTTGTATAAAAATATCATCGGATCCATTAGGTATTGTGTCTTATATTTCTAGATATTCTTCTGTACAGAAGTATATCTAGAAATGTCTTTTTACAAAAGCATATCAAGAAATGTCAGATACGGCATCTAATGAACCTGATGATGTTTTTTTACAAAATGACATATTTTTATACAAAATGAAATTGCCAAGCTTCAAAGTTATGCCTATTAAAGCACTGCAAGTCTTTCAATAATAACTTTAAAATTTTGCTTATTTCTATTGTTAAGAAACTTTTTTTTTCTTGCGACGAAAAAAAAAAGTATCATCATAATACTTTGTATTATTGCAATACTTTTATACACTTTATATTTTATTTTAACTTATCAATTTATTTACTTAACTCAAACTTTAAAAAATTAAAAATATCTAACTAAAAACATTATTTGCACAGATTGATTATTTTAACGAAATTTTGGTCCGATATCAAACTGGAAAATTTGTGCGCCAATATTTTAATGCTTTGAAAAAAAAAATGCTCACGAATTGTTATTTTCAAAGCGAACAAAAATTATCAAAAAAATTGTTCCAACCGGACAACAAATTCCGGACAAAAAATTGTTCCAACCGGAGCAACAATTCCGATTTGTTCATAAAATAGTTTGAATCTTTTGTTTAGCTACAGATGCGCTGTTGTTAAATCCAGTCAAATCCAATGGGGCTAGGCAAGTAATAAATAATAATTCTTCACGTTTTTAATCTCTGTTTATGCCAGGATCTGATAAAACTTATTTAAATGCTTTGCCAGTAGCACCATCAAAATTAGTCTTACGCGTGAGTGTCAATGTTTTTATTGCTTTGCGTTCAATATCAAGTGCCTCGGCACAGGTTCCTGAACAGCATAGATTCTTTACTAGGTACAAGCCATTAAATCTTTTAAAGGAACAGAAGCTGAATAGTCCTCCACTGTTATATTTGCAGGAAAACATTTTAACTTTGCATCCCTAGCATCATTGTAAGCGGGGTAGATGTTATAATCTTTCTCCAAGGCTCTACTTCTAATCAATTGATAGGAAGTTTTTGTCAGACTGGCATCAATTATTAAAGCCAGTGCTATGTCTGCTGAATATTTAGTTGCTTTATCTTTATTTGAAATATTAAAAACATTCTTGGCAGCAATAACAATAGATTCATCTCTAAGTTTTTTTCTAGCAGCAAAAAAAATTCATGAGATAAATGAGATTCAAGTAAGCCAGATGCATGCTGTTTTTTAGTTTTATTAGAACTATTATCAAATGTAACCAGTTTTCGATCATGTCTACTTGTAATTGGTTCATTTTTTTTCTCCTGAAAATTAAATATACATTAAGCCAATTCACAAACTTCTTTTCAATATTTTTGAGAGTATAATTTGCGGATTTCCACTTTTTGTTATAAGTAAACAAACCGTTGAACAGCTTGCATAAAATCAACGTCTTTAAATTCAGCAATTTTTGGCTGAATAAATTTCAATATACCTTCAATAAAATTTTGTTTTGATTGTTTTTCCGGAGAAAATTATGAATGTCTAAGTTTTATAAAACCAATCTAAATAATTCTTATAACAAATATTTTGTATTTAAAAGATTAATATTATAACATCTATGCCGCGTGGACTACTAATTCTTGTTAGTAATTAAGTTACTACAAGTGTTAGTAATTAAAATTAAAAGTAATTAAATTACTGTAAGTGCTAGTAATTAAATTACGAACAACTACCAAAAATATGTTGTTGCTATGCTATGCAAAGTTAGGTATCCATAATAATCCAAAAAAATTAACTTCATAAGAGTTGTGAATCTCATTTTAATACATACGCCAAATACTGTGTACTTAGCGCAAATAAAATACTGTTAAAACAACGTTAACGTGAAAACAGGTTGTTGCTATGCAAAATTAAGTATTATAGCAACCGAGTTGAAACATACAAAATCTGAACGGGGATTTGGGGAGACGAGCAATCAATGAAAACTCGATTGAAGCATCATATAACTCAAATAAATATAAGACAGCACATGACAAATAGTGGCAATTATTAGTTATAGTGTAAAAATAAATTTCTTGAAGATTTTTTTTTTAAATATGTAATTCTCAAAGTATAACTGAGATAACATGCTACGACAAATTTATATCACACAATAATTTTTCTTATCTCTAAATACTCTAAAATAAAATTTATTAATTTGTTGTTTTAAAACGTAGATGTAATTGAAATATCACACAACATAGATTTCACCGAAATTACTTATTTATTATTATTTTTTAATTTCAATACTATATATTTATTTTTATATTATTTATATATAATTATTATTGTTTTTTAATTTCAAATGCTCAGTGTCCTATAACTAAAGGGTTTGATATAAATAAATTATCAATAAATTTATCCTAATATATATAGATACTAAAATTAAATAAGTTTTCTAGATTTGACAAGTAAAATTTTTCCTACCAACTGTGGTCTGGGTTAAATCCTTGATCCGGCACTGCTTATACTCGTCTGAGTTTTATTTTTTTATGCCTTATTTAAGTCAAGATATCTACTTTTCAGCTTATAATATATCAATAACTTTGGAAATTAACTATTGAATAAGGTTTAGTAAAAAAAAAAAAAAAAAAAAAAAAAAAAAAAAAAAAAACCTAAAGTATATCTTATAAGTTCTTTTGGCAACTTTTGGATAGTCGGAAAAATACCGCTAAAAAATAAATCCGATATCTTTAGAAATGTCCCGATTACAGCTATGCATCTAACAAATAACATTAAAATTTAATGTGAAAGTAGTAAAAGATAGTATTTTGTTTACTTAAACAATTTTATATCAATAATATTTAAAGTTATCAGTTTCGAGAACATAATATTTTAGTTTCTAAAATATAATATGCAGTTAATATATTATATTATATATAAAGTTTTCAGTTTCTATAATATAATATATTATAATATTTTATTAAATAATTTTTGCTTTAATTTATACCTTGTTTAGTATATATAAAATTTTAAACAAACAAATATATATATATATATATATATATATATATATATATATATATACATATATATATATATATATATATATATATATATATATATATATATATATATGTTATTATTATTATTGTTATTATATTATTTATATAGTATAAAATGTTATATAATTTATCTTATATTATACGTTGCTATAAGTTATTACTATTATTAATTATATATATATATATATATATATATATATATATATATATATATATATATATATATATACATATATATATATATATATATATATATATATATATATATATATATATATATATATATATATATATATATATATATATCTAATTTTCTTATTAGAAAAAATTTCCTGTTGCAACATTATTAACATCTGTAATTTTGTGTACATTTATTGTGTATATATATATATATATATACAATATATATATATATATATATTTATATATATATATATATATATATATATATATATATATATGTATATATATATGTATATATATATATATATATATATATATATATATTATACTTTTAAATATAACATCTAAGTTGATAAAAATTATTTAAACTAAGACCACAAAGCACAATACTAACACTAAAATAAATTCAAATTTTAAAAAGCGCGACAGAATTTGGCTAATTGCTGAAATTGGGCATACCTATAATTGGATGACAATAAATTTGTAAGTCTTGTTTTTATACCACTTTTGTAGGATTTAAAATTGATATTATAAATTCATTAAATGGTCTTAATAAATTTTGTTATTTTTTCGAGTAATTTAACCATATCTTGATTGTATTATCAAAGATAATTTCTTTTATATAAAAATAAGGAATATAAATATAGTACTTATATGGTAATATGTTAGGTAAAAAGTATTTTGGCGTAGTATTGTAAAGTAAAAAAAAAAAAAATACAGGAAAAAAAAAAGAGATAATTATATAAGCATAAAAATATCTTAGTGGATGCTAACCCTAAGAACTCCCTATAAAGTAATTATAATAGCTATTTTGATATACTGAATAACAATAACAAACAACTTACCAGTGTAATTTTTGTAATTTTTATAGTAATTTATTTTTCGAAAACCTTTTTTTTTTAGTTTAAAATAATTTAGATTTTATTATAGTTTTTAAATTTATAATGGCCACTCCATTGGCAGAAAAACCGCCATTGTATAGAAGCCTTCCAAATGAATCTCTGACATCTATATCAACTCCTCCAAGAGTTGGAAAACTTAATAGGTCAACTCCAGTATCAACAAAAAGGACAAACTCGACTGCTCGCATTGGAAGTTTAAGAAAACCTCGAAAAAGAGCAGGTAAACCAAAGGTTGTATCAATAAAATTGTAGCTGAAATATGTTTCTTTCTTTTTTATTTTTATTTTTTTGCCAAATAATAATTGAGTGTTTTTATATCACCTTTTAAGTTGTATATCATGGTAAGAAATAAAAAATATGAAACAAAAAAGTAATTTTGAAATAAAAAAAATTTATTAGAAATAAAATTTTTGGGTAAGAAGCACTGAGATGTTTCTTTTTAAAATTGTTAACTAGTTGTCTTTAGTACTATTAACAACATTGATTATAATAAGTTGGTTAAAAATGCTATAGTTGTATATTATACAGAAGTTGTATATTAGCTAAAAATACACCTATCACTTCCCTTGTAGTACTGAACTCAACTTGTTTTTTTGCCTAAAGGCTTTGTTTATCAAAGCTATCAGAGCTAATACATGGATAAAGAGCTATTAAAAATAATAAAAATCAATTTTAACTGATCAATTTTGACTCCTTCATTTGGAAGTAAAACTGTTATAAAAATCTTTTATCTCTAGACATTTTTTTTTTCAGTATTTGTTTTATATTACATGTTATATCACATGACTAGTATTTAATTTTTTTACAAACCAGTAATACTTTTTATTACAAATAAAAAGTAGTTATTTTAGAAAATAAAGGTGAGTTTGGTAATTTTAAAACAATAAATTGTCAGTATTATAATCAGAGCTCGATTTAATGCAATAAAATCTAATTGTAAAAAAAAAAAAATTAATGAACCCCTACCACCAACTCTACCTATCCACAACGCCACTTAGCAGTAAGGGGGTTGTGTTAGTATCTTTGTACATTAGTTCGAAATAGTTATTCTATTATATTAATACTCAATTTGAAATGTTCTAAAAGATTTTAAAAAAAGTGGCTAAATTGTCGCAACTAAATATTATATGCGTGGTCAGAGAGCTTTTTAATGTTAGAGATCCATAATCAAAAGGACTGCACAAACTATAAATGTAAATGCTGCAGTTATTTCCCACAAGAGCAACGAAAGTTACTGTTTAATAACTTTCGGGGACTCAAAAAATGGGAATGTCAGGCAATAGGGCCAATAAAGTTATTTGAATATTACAAGTGTGTTAATCAACTGTTTGCTTTTAGCTGTTAAACAACTAGTAGTAACACAGGGAAATATGCAGGAGCGATTCAATTGCTGAGTGTAAATCTAAACCTCCCTTTAATATGGTTGTTGTGAAGCCGTAAAACTTTGCCATTGTTGTTTCATTTATAGGATTAGTAAATTTTTATGGTTGACACATTGAAAAATATGCTGAAAAAATACCTTGAAATAATTTATAAAAGGAGTTGCATTCGAGTGGAGGAAAGATAAACATGCATTTGAGTTGCTAAAAAGGAATCTTTGCAAAGAACCTGTGGTAAAAGTTTATGACATCACCCAAGATCTAGAATTAATAACTGATGCCAGTGAAAAAGCAATATCTGGAATACTTTCACAAAATGGTCATCCTGTATTGTATCTCTCATGAACTTTATCAGGCGCTGAGACAAGATATTCTAATATCGAGAGAGAAGCGTTGGCTGTTGGGTGGTCTACTCGCAGAGTTAGGCATTTTTTGTTGGGTAGGAAATTTAAATTGATATCAGATCACAGACCATTAGAGTTTATATTTGATTAAAGTGACATCTGCAAGGGAGAAAACATTCCTTATGCTTATGCATCATGGAGATGTCTTTTTTACCACAAGATGAAGAAAAGGACCAAGAAACCTTTATACACTTGGTCGAGTCAGATCTTGTGAATCTTGAGCAAATAAAAAAGAAACAGAAAATGGTAGACTATTGATTGATATCAAAACCAGAATGAGCAAAAATAATTGGAGCAGGTGCTCTGGGACAAAAAGGCCTTATAAATCCATTAGGAATAAATTGACCATTGAAAAGGGAATTGTATGTAATTGTGATCTCATTATACCTAATAAAACAAAGAGAAGGAAGTTCATCAAATCAGTCCATGATGACATATATCGTGGCACAATGCAAATTTAATGTAGATTAAAGCTTGGTGGTCTGGCTACTGTCAAGATGTTGAAGAATATGTAAAAAAATGTGAAAAATGTGCCAAGATAAAGGTGAAGAAAGAGAGGATGTTACATACATGGCCAAATGAAAATAAACTTTAGTGTAGACTGCATATGGATCATGCCTATGTACAGGGTGTTTTTCTGGATGACCTGAAGTTATGAAGGTAAATAACTGTGAAGCTGCCACAGTGAAGGCAGTACTACAAAGTATTTTTTCAAGAAATGGAGTTTCAGAGGTTTTGGGTCCAATAATGCAGAATTTAATGATACCACCTTACACCAGTGGCTAAAGAAAATAAGTTGCTTGCCTTATAAGACCCCACCTTACCATCCTCAATCTAATGGAGAAGCTGAAAGGATGGTAGAAACAGTCAAGGTGGGTTTAAAAGCTTATTCACTGAATAAAGGTTTATTATGTGAATATTTAAGCAGAATGCTTTTAATTTACAGAACAATAACTTATGCAGGAAGATCAAAGAATCCTTCCGAGATGATTACAGGAACCTTTGCCAGCTTATTGTTTTTTATCTTGTGGGAATGAATGGGAACTAATTTTAAATTCCACCAACCTGGCACTTGTTATGAGGTGCATTTTATGGGAAATGGACTTTACCTTTTTATATTCGAAAGGAAGTTTTTTTACCACCATTCTTTATGTACCATGGTTTTTAAAAAGCTCTCAGTCTTCAAAAGCACTCAAAAATGACCTTGATGCTTTCAGGGCAAGTCTTAAAACACAAGAGTAATGCAATGACCAGTTAGGACAGTCTTTAATAAAGAGTATAAAACAGCATTCTTGGTATCTAACTCCTTGACTTGTTGTGTTAGCAATTAAAGATCATGACGTTAAAGAAAATGAAAAATTAAAAATGATTAATAACTTATTTAATTTTTAAAAAACCTACTTAAATTACTTAAATAACTACTCCTATATTCCAGATTGGGTATCCTCAAAATATTCCAGCTCCTGATTCCAAAACAACATTATCATTTCTGGTTGATCCATAGTCTTAGTATCTTTTTGAAATTATTGGAGTTTTAAAAAAGCGAAGTAAAACAATGGGTTTACAGGCCTTGTTTTATAGGTTTTGTTGCGTATCTGAAAAGCATAACACGAGTAAATGTAACTTTACTCAATAAATGTATTTACATTGTTAAAAGTCTAGTTACAACAGTTGCGTATTTTAAGGTAATGCATTGTAATTCCATTTAATTTGAAACCACATTAAAAATTGTTGTTAAAGTTTAAATATATTGTTTAAAAAACAAAAAATGCTTATTTTTAGAAAATTTTTTTTTTTTTTTTTCTTTAAAACATTCATCTTATGTTTATTTATTTTTTTAATAATTGTTTATGAAATTTACTAAAAAAATTTTCTAAAATACTTTTAATAAATCTAATAATTTTGCCTACAGGCTTGATTAAGGTTTATGCTGCAATCCATTTATATACAGTTATAAGTGCATTAAGCACTTTTGTATATTAGCACTTTCTTAATGGAATGAAAATAAAATTATTGATTTGAAACTACTAATAAATAAACAAAATAATTAAATGTAATACAAACATTTTAAAGTAACTTGAATTAAATTTATTTTTAAAAAATTTTCTTTTCTTTAATAAAATTTCCATAGTTAAGAAAGTTTAGCAAAAAAAAAATGGAAAAATAGAGCGTTTTAAAATTTTTATAAGAATTTAAATAAAGTTTTATAAAATAATTTATACTTAATAATATTTAATAATAAATTTGATTTAAGTATAACAAAATAAATTCATAATAGAAATTTTTTTAAAAATGGAAAACTGCATAAACTATTTAAAGAATAATGATCAAATTAAAAAAAGTTTTGGCAAAATGTAAATGGCTTAATGCATAGGTGAAATCACCATTTTACCATTTTATGTGAATTTTAAGGTGACTTCACCATTTTAAGGTGAAATCACCATTGTATACAAATTTCAAATGGCATAACACTTCTTCACAAGACGTGGGTTGTAAAGGTAGTAAAATCTTAGAAGAATACTGAAAGTTTTCATAAGTTCTGTTTATTTGTTAAGTATGTCTCTACTACTAACGACTGCACTGAAAGAAACATTAAGCTTATACAAGAAGGCATCTACAAATGAAGATCAGAAGTATAATGCTTAAAATATAATGCTTGTTGCAAAAGATCACAGAAAAAAATCACAGCCAATCTAATAACATTCATGGTATTACAAACTGTGAAGACTGTAGACATTCACAGGGTTCCCACTTGGCATGCAAAACATGCAATTGCTTACACAGGCATGCAAAGCATGTAAAAGTATATGACCAGAATTTTAAAAGATAAACTGGTTGTTTAATGCCACAGGTTGTCTAATGCCACTGGCAGATAAACTGAAAATTTTTTTCAGTTTATCTGCCAGTGGCATTAGACAACCTGTGAAGCATGATAGAGTTGAAAATCATGTTAGTAAAGATCCTTGTAAAATATCAAACAACCAAAAACAATTTAATATATCTGTCACACTTTCAAATGTTGGATTGTTCATATTGATGATCAGATCTCTCACGCAGAAATTATGCAAGCTTTACTTGTTGTCAATTGTAATTACAGTTTCAAGGCAACTGAAAATAACAATGCAGGATTTAGCTCTATGTTTCCTGATTCTGTTGTGGCAAAGCGTTATAAGCAAGGTGAATCAAAAATTTAATATCAAATGCAGTTTGGAATTGCCCCTTATGTTGAAAGTATGTTAAAATCTGGTATTAAAAAAACACCACTCACTTTTAAGTTTGATAAGACAGCAACTAAGCAAGTAAAAAAACAGTATGATGGGTATCTTCAGTATTGGTCAGACAAAAATAAACTTTTTATTGATATTCACTTTTTTTTAAGTTGTCTAGTGCAAAGCGTGAAGATTATGCTAATTTAGTTGATGTAACTAATTTGGTTGCTGAATTTGCTAAAAAGCATGTAGAAACGTGATGGCTTTCTATGAGCTATGTTGCTGTTAGAATTTTAGAACATCGGGTGAACCTTATAGAGTATTTTTTAAAATTTCTTCCAAAACAAAAAAACTTTAATGCTTAGTTTAAAACAGATAGATACAAAAGAATTAGTGAAGCTCTGCGTGATGATGTTCAGACTCAAGGGTATCTAAATATTTGTGCTTTTTTAACACAATATTTTGAAACATTTTTAGTACAATTTCAAACAGAATCTCCAATGATTCACATTCTTTATCCTGCGATGTGTAAACTATTAAACTCTTTACTTCAAAAGTTTATTCTTTCCAAAAAGTTAAAAAATGATAATGGAGAGTTTAAGTCATTGTCTGAAATTTTAATGATTCTCCAAAATCAAAAATCATAGAAAATTAAGTTTAATTAATTAGGAACAAAAGTGAAATTGCTGTTGCATGGAGCTGCTATACCTAGTTTAGTAGATAAAAAATTTTGGACTGAGTGCAAGGAGTTTTATGTTGCTTCTGCATCATACTTACAAGAAATCTTACCTTTTCATGTTTCACTTTTAAAGTTTGCACAATTTCTTCATCCAGAAAAGCGTATTGCTCTAGGTGCAACAAGTGCAATATCTAATTTAACGATAAAATTTGCTTTAGAATTAGAAAAACAATTTAGCTCGGTTTTTCATCTAAATGAGATTTCTTCAACCAAGAATCTCTGTGTGATAAAGTAAAAGATCAATGGTTATCTTATCAGAATGAGGTCATCCCAGAACACTTATATAAGTTCAGAACTTTCTACTACATCTGTCACTCAACAGCAAACATCATATTGGTCTTATGCATTTAGTACTTGTTACCTGAATAATATAATTTCCCACCACGTCCCTAGTAGCACCGCACTCAACTTGTTTCTCCGCGCAGCGGGTTTGTTCATCAAGGTTCATTGTTCGGAGTTATAGAGTTGAGAGTGGGTTATAACTTTAACCTTAAGTGACCTTCTTGGCCTTTGGGAGGTACATTATAAAAAAAAATATATAAGTGCAAACCATCTTATAAACCATCCAATTATAAACAAATAGATAATTATTGGAGTCAGGTGGGAACTATATGTGATGAAGCAGGCAAATTAAAACTCCCTCAGCTGCTTGTACTTGTTAAGTATGTTTTATCTCTTAGTCATGGCAACAGTACAGCTAAAAGAGGATTTTATATAAGTAAGAACTTTATAGATTTATTTATATTAGCTCACAATACCAACTTAAAAGAAGATATTGTTGCATTGAGATTTTATCTTTTTTTTTTTAGTAATTTTACAATATTTTATGAAAAATAGTTTGAATTATTGTAACAATTTTTTCAGTTAGAGATGAACTTAATCAAGTAGGTGGAGTTATAAATTTTTCAATCACAAGTAACTTAATTAAATGTATTAAGAGTCTCATCAAAGATATAAAGTTTATTTGGCTGAGCAAACTAAATTAGAAAAAGCTGAATCAGAAAAGGTAAACCAAAAAGAGATACTGGCAAAATCTTTTCAACAGGAAAAAACAGATCTAGAACTTATTGAAACAGATATAAGTATATTGATCCCCATTGTTTTAATTAAATTACCATATTTTCTTTATTTTACTGTTTGAACTTTGTCATTAAATAAAACATAACTAATAGGAATTTTTTGGAACAAAATATTCTATTTAAATTACATCAAGGATATGCAAAGCTGGCATCAAGGTTGCAGAAACTGCTATTGATGAAGGTAATGGAAAACTGCAACAAGCACTACTCAAAGTAAAGTTAGATAAAATTGTGTCAAGCTTCACCAGCTATGATTGACGTGGGATTGGGGCATAAAAGAGAATTACAAATAAATCTTGAAAAATTTGTAAAAAAAGAAAATAAAGTTATAATTTTTTATTGAGTAAAATATCAAATTTTATAAGTTTTGAAATATGATTTGATATTGTATTTAGATATACTATGATATAAGGCATGCTATCTGAAAAATCTGTCCACCTTTTGCGGTGTGGTAAAGCTAGTTAATGGTCGTTTTTTGAAATTATTTTTTTTGTGTGTGGTAGTGTTTGTATAATAGAACATTTTTGCAGAAAAAAATAATTAAAAATATTATTTAGTTTCAAAATGTTAACCGAGCAAACTAAACAAAGATTTTTGATTGTGGACAAACCCTTTAAAAATCCAACTTTATCGAATAGAAAGTTGGCGAAATCATTAAAAATATCAAGAAGAACTGTAGATACTGTTCTTAAACGGTTTACAGAACAGAAAACTATTCAGAGAAAACAGGGAGGTGGTCGAAAAAAACGCACAGCAAATCCTAGAGCTCTCGAACTGTTAGAGACTTCATTGGAAGAACATCCTGATTGGTCTGATAGATTTGTAGCGAAAAAACTGAAGGTTTTCAATTTTTTTCTTCACAAATGGTGACAGAGACTTGGATATCAAAGTTTTAAAGTAGTTAAAATGCCAAATCGCAATGATAAACAAAATTCAACCGCAAAGAGTCAAGCTCGAAAGTTGTATTACAACTTGTTAACAAAACATAATGGATGCATTTTGATGGATGACGAAACATATGTTAAAATGGATTTTAAACAAATTCCTGGGCAGTGCTACTATGCTTTTAAAATAAGAGGGAATGTGAGTGATAAATACAAGTATGTAATGACTGATAAATTTTCGAAAAAATTGATGATTTGGCAGGCACTTTGCTCTTGCGGCAAAAATTGCTAATTCATGTTTGTTTAGGCACAATGAAAACTTCGGAATACGTAAAATGTTGTCTTTCTTGTGTAAAACGACTAATTAAAGCTCATAGAAGTTCTTTAGTATTGTTTTGGCCTGATTTAGCCGCAATACATTACTCAAAAGATGCTCAAAAGTTTTACGATGATAATGGAGTGATGTTGGTTCTGAAAAAGATGAATCCTCCAAACTGCCCCAAATTACGTCATATTGAAAAATATTGGGCCATCATAAAAAAGAAATTAAAATTAAGTGGAAAAACAGTAAAACCAGCTACAGATTTGAAGAAAAAATGGGATTACGCTGCTAAAACTTACAAAAATCACTCTGTCCAGAAACTTACAGGAGGCATCAAAAAGAAAGTCAGAATTTTCTGTAAAACTTAATTTTTTTTTGTTTTTTCCCTATTAATATGTAATCTTTACAGTCAGAATTTTTCAGAAATATATTGATTTAAATACATTTAAGTTTTCTTACTTCTTTTTTTGATCAAGAAAGGTGGGCAGATTTTTTCGATAGCATGCCTTATACTAATAATTTTTGCATGCTTCTTTTTAAAAATTTGCAAGCATGCAAATTTTTAAAAAGAAGCATGCAAATGTATGCAACACAATTAAGAAATAGCATGCAAAAGCATGCAATTTTAGTAAAATGTAGCATACAAATTTCATAAATACTGGCTGGGAACCCTGCATTCACCAATAAAATAACTAAAAAAACTTATATATGTCTAAAATGATAGAAGTTTCATAAAAAATCTTGGTCTTTTGGATATATTTCATTAAATAAATAAAATATTTTTCTTCTTAAATAATGTCATAATTATTTAAGAAGAAAAATATTTTTAACACAACTAGTATGTGACAGGGGTTGAAATTTGACTGGGTTTGATAAAAAATAATTGGGGCTGCGTTTGTGACTGGAACTCCATTAACATTGATGTGTGTATGTGTCAATTTTTAATAAATTGTAAATGTATGCATAAGATTGTAATATATAAAGTATTATAAATTTTTTACTAGCCCTGGCTATCAACCCCTCCTAAATCTTATAAATTTTGCGGGGGCAGGGACCAGGTTTGTAAAAAATCCTATTTCCCTAAACTTTTTTTTTTAGTTTGAAAAAGTATAAATATAGTTTTTAAATTATACATACTTTGTAAATTTAAATTTGCCATACTTGCTAGGTCACTTTAATTATTTTGGTTATGCAATCAATTTCAATAGGTTATACATACTTTAGAATACTTTAATTAAAGAGGTTTTTTTTAGCATCATCATCTTTATTTTAAAATAAACAAACTCATTTATTGAATTATTTAAAATATGATA